TGCCAAACCTAGACCATGGCGCATTAATTTGTTACTGTATTTAGCGCATGAAGGTTGGCTTTTAATTAAAAGGTATATTGTTAAATTGTTTGAAGAATCTAAAGATATTGCATATATTACCTTTTTTGATTTATTAGACAATTTGATTCCTGCTGCTTTGGATGTATATACGTGTCTATTTCGAGAAAATCATTTTGAAGAGTATGTTAGTATGATATTTCGGTTGTGGACTATAATGCGAAGATTCCAGAGACATAATTATAATAAAATTATGTTGGCTTTTTTATCTGATATTCAATATTGGGAAACAATTAAACATTCGATAATTAATGTTTTAAAAACACATTTAAATACCTTTGACGAATATCCAGTTGAAAATTTTCACAGTTTATTGCGACGTCATATCAATGCAAAAGTAACTGTTGGAAAATCATTAAGAAGAAATGCAATATTTCTTGACCATTGTCGACATGAAAATGCATTCGTTTCATCATTTGAATTAAAACATGATTATCCTTATACAGAAAAAGACTTAAATAATCTGGTAAAATTATCTGCTATTTTTTTACTTGATTTTTTTAATAATTTGTGGAAAAATCCTAATAAAACTGAAATAAAAAAAGAAGGAATAAAAACTAAAAAAGATTTTTGTTATTTTCCGGGTATTCAATCCTGATTTTCTTTTAAAGTTTTACCACTTGGATATCATTCAAATAATCGTCCTACAGCTAATAAATTATGCGATTATATAAATTGTACTAATCCATTATGTAATAAAATTCGAATACTAATTTGTGGGCATAGCTATCACGAATTTTGCTTTCAACTTTTAGGATCTTATTGTCTTTATTGTTTTGAATTTCTTAATAATTCAATTGAGGAGTTGTCACGTTTATACAATGAAAGATTACGAATGAATGAGGATATTGATACTTGGGTAGGTTCAGAAACTCAACCTGAGTCTGATGCATCAGAGGATGTTGAACCCGTAAAAGAATGTGTTGAGATTGATGAAAGGTTAAAAAAGAGGATCGCAGGTATATATTATCTATATTTAATTACATTATCACTATCGCTTTATTAATTATTATAATTTTTAATAGAATTTATTAAAGATTGTTCTCTGGATTCGATTTAAAGCCTAAAT